AATGATTTGCTCAAATAGATAATATGGCGGCATTTAAAGATAAAGTATTTTTAGATTACAGACTTAAAAAACAACACACAAACGCGTCAACCTATGAGTCACGGTTGAAAACGAAAGAAGATCAATAAACATTTAATCTCATTAAAATTATAATCATCTAAAATTGAACTTAAAAAATACACTTGAAAATAAAATTAATGATTTTTTTGTGTTTTTTAATGCATTATTTTATTCACAAAAATAATGAATTGAATTGCGCAACAGGCAGAGTCTTTTAGCCCTCATGAGAGAGCTAATAAGCTCGCCTTTTTATATATAGTGCAATCATCGATACAAAACTGTTCTTGAATTAGTTTTCCTTTAGGGAAAAAACAGAACTAACGACATAGTATTTTTTTTTAAATTGAATCTGCAAATGAAATTAGATAGGTTTCTGTTTTTTAATTTATAAACAATTGTCTATTTATTAGATCTTACCCATAATAATACAAGGTATTAAACTCCATATTACGTAGAGTACGCACCTTAACAGAGCTGCAGTCATTCACGTTTTCGGCCAAAATGCATCGGAAACTTGTTATGTTCCCCAAACGAAGTTGGGGAACATATTGTTTTTACTCTGTTTCTTATTATTATTATTATTTTTCTTCTTCTTCTTCTTCTTCTTCTTCTTCCTGGGTACTTTTTTGTCCCGGAGTGATCTTGTAAACTACACATCTGACTTTGGTAAAACCTTTTTAGGGTCAGTAGGCATGTTATGTAGATTTGTGGAATGAAGGTCATTTTGCGCGCACGTGCTTGCAAGAGCGTGCACGTGCAACACGTGAAATGACCAATATAATAGATATAGCCGTAACTTTTCTATTTTTTGATTATATGCTTTAAAACTCAAAATATAAGTATATATTAGTAGTATAGACATAATGACATGGTCAAAATAGCAAGAACTCACGCGCATGCACGTGCGCTTCGCTCTGATTGGCTGAAACTAAAATCTCAATATCTTTCTTGTTTTTTGACAAAATCCTTTGAAATTTTGAATATATTCATAGACTTTGAAGATCTACAGCATGATAAATAAGAATTATCATGAAAGCATGTGCATGCACGTGTGCTGCAATCTGATTGGCTGAAACTTTAAATGTCTATAACTTTCTTAGTTCTCAACGAAACGAGATGAAATTCAGAATATGAATAGGTATAATGGATTTCTACATTATGCATCTATCAAATTTAAATTCAAGGACATGCATACATGCCCGTGTGCACGCAATACGTAAAATAACAAATATATTTGAAAAACAGTAACATTTATATTTTTATGATTTTTTTTATCAATTCTCACGATAAACAGATTTGTTAATGGTTTAGACAACATGCCATTTTTAGCTTGCATGTGCGTGCGCATGCAATATGTTAAATGAGATATAGTTGATATCATTGCAGTTTTGATAACTATATGATGAAATCCTTTAATACTGAGCATATTTAAAAAAGTCTTACAGGTAAAATGGCATAAAAAGGGAGTTGGGGAGCGTTTGGGGAACATCTGTAACGGTCCCCGTTACAATTAGAACTAGTTAACTTACCATTTTCCCTAAAAATAATGCATCTACCCGTTTAGGACTATAATTGCATATTTTTTAAAAATCTCCATGAAAAGCCTTCAAATTTTGCAAGCCAAAAGAAAATTCATTTTATTTTAACAGGACTATGTACTAGTCCTGCACAGGAATTTTATGTCAACAAATCATTGGGTTTTAAAATTTAAAACATCGCCTTTATAAAATATAACAGTTTTTTTTATTCATTATTATTATTATTATTATTGTTATTCATGGAAATATAACAGTTTATTATTCATTGAAAAATTGTCACAGCGTAAAAGGATATCAAAATGATATCCTTCCACAGTGTGATAAAAACTCTCGGTTTCCCTTCCATATAACAAAGAATGATTTTTTAAATATTCTTTAGCCTGTTAGAAGATAGAGAAGCGTTAATAAGCCACTCTCACAGAGATCAAAACTGAGTAAGTTTTCGTAATCTGTTGCCGAAATCCATTTTTAGAATGTTTTCTAGCTCACAATTCTTAGCTGTGACTTCTCAACCTCTCAACTATATGATATCATGCGGCCTATGACTGCATGACCGTAAAGGATTTTTTTTCTTTCGAGCTTCGCACTCGTGGAAATATTTTAAAATAAAATCCTGTCAACCTCGTGAGATAAATTTCATTTTCAACGACAAAACATTGAATATCCCCTGAAATAAATTCAAGTTCTTTTATGTTTGTTTTTTTTTTTTTCTTATAATGCATTCGAAATGTTCCAATGTTCATGTAATGAATAAAATAAGATTTAGAAGACGAAAACGATCTTTAAAAAATCTGTAAGCAACATGTAAAAGGGCAATTATTTGTAAAAACAAGGGACAAAATGTTTCAGGTGCCTAGTAGGATTAATTATCGCCTGTCGACTGATAACAACTGTTGTGCGTCCTTTTATTGATCAAATTTATAGAAGACCCGTATACAAATTTAGAAGAAAACAAACTTTTTGAGGTTTAACAATGGGTATAGAACACGTCATATCACACTAGTATTGTTTATAATTCTTAGAAGTATTTGAAGCATTTACTAACGACATATATCTAGATTTTTGATTCAGTAGATGATTCATTCATTAACTACATGAAATACCCATTCTATCTTAAAAGGAGCTGAATTCTCGTCTAAAACATGATTATTATTTCTGTCATCAATTAAAAAAAATCTTTTTGTTCTCCATAAAGTTGATAATACATCTGAAAGTTATTAGTTCAGTATGCTAAAATGAAATTTGAAAGCAAATGAAGCCTGTGTAGACGCTGCAAACCTCTATAAATCCTTTTTACTTGCAATATGTAAAAGTGTATCTATGTTGAAGTTTCGTATATTAAAGTGCATGACAGTATTTGTTTTTCACTTTTTCCGTCTTGTTGTTTGATTTACATAAAGGAAACAAGCACACAGAAAAAAAATATGATAAAAAATCTTCTAGAGAATTTAGGCAAGATCTGTTACTTTCTTCTACGAGCATCGAAAATCAAAATTAAATTTTAAAAAACTAGGCAAATTCGTAAGAGAGAGAGAGAGAGAGAGAGAGAGAGAGATAGAGGGGGTAAATTGTTTTTAGCCGGGCTTATTGCTCAAAGAGGGAAGTCAACCCCATAGTCTCCATTTTAAAGTTACGTACAAAAATATAGTTCTTACTCTCAGCCGCTTTTGAGATAATGCAAACACTAAATAAATTAAGCAACAAAAATAAAACGAAGTTTTATCTATATAAATAAACATTAGTAGTAATGACTTTGAAAACTTCAGTCTTAAGTCAAAGAACATATAGTTCATTAGCGTAAGGATTTTTATAATAAGTGTTATCGTAGTTCTTTACACGTACGAGGTAAAGCAGGAGAGGGAACCAGACTGGCCTGTTTGTTTACATTCAGCTGCGGTCCAGATTAATTCTGATTCTGACAAAATCGGAACGTGGTATTAGGATTGAAAAACTCACTGGCAGTGTTATATATTTTATATTGATAGTTTTAAAATCATTTTTTCATCAGAATATAAACGTGATTCATGTAAGAAATTAATTCTACATGTACTCTGTAAATGAACCCGGCTCTCTGTACTTCTGAGTACTTTGATTGATATTTACTATACAGAGTATCTAGATAAATTACAAATTTTTCATGTTTATAATTTTTTTCTATCAGGCCTATAGCATGTACAGTATAAAGATAAATTTATTTTAGGTACTTGGACACAGATTTTAAGTCAATATTTTCTCCATTAAATTACGACTTATATATTTTAATAGCATCTCACACAAAAATTAATTAAAAATCTTATTACATTTAAAAGTTATTAAAACTTCAAATTTTTCGGTGGGTATGATTGACACATGCTTGCACTTTCACAAATTTAAACCTTTTTCTTAATCCTTAGGAAAAGTGGCAATCTTGTTGTGTATTAATGAGAAGCATTAAAACTTTAATCCAGAAAAATAATTTTACTCAGAGTAGAAATGTTAGAAAGCAAAACTTCTTCACAAGTATCGTCATTCCGAACTAGGAGTTGCGTACAGGGTTTAGCAAATCGAGCACACTCGTGTTATGTACATGTACACAGTTTTTGTAAACAGGGCACGAGTTCTGTTTTTGTTTATGTTTAAAATTCACCGGGTGCGTTCTAAATCGTCACAGTCTTCTTACCTCAAGTGCACGGACTGACAATATATTGTGTGTTTGTTTTGCTTTCGAACATGCCTACTCTGAATTTTTTGGATTATAGTGTTAATATTTTTCATTTATACACAACGAGATTGCCACTTTTCCTAAGGATTAAGAATAAAATGTATTTATAATATTGCAAGGTTGTGTCAATCAAACCCGCAAAAAATTTGAAATTTGAATATCATTTATGTGAAATAAGATTTTTAATTAATTTTTGTTTGAAATGCTATCAAAATATATAAGTCGTAATATCATAGAGAAAATAATAACTTCAAATCTGTGTCCAAGTACCTTTAAGAACTTCAGTTAAAGAAAGATATTGAAAACAAAGATAATTTATTATCATTCAATCTTACGACACATAGCTAAGGCATTACAGTCATTAATGTCACATACATAATAAAATTATACTCTGGTAAATATAATGCAAAAAGCCCTTTCTTGAGTAGAGCTTGTTTATGTAAGATAAGGTGTCACATAAAGAAGCACATGCTTTCAAAATAAAAATAAATTCAGACGGATAATGCTGAATTCAGTGTCAATAGATCAAAGCCAATAACTTACAAATGAATCTTTGCAAATAAAATCCCCCACAATCAGTCAAAACAATCATTATCAATCACTCTTATAAAGAAATTAAGATTATAGCCAGTTATATATATGAATCAATGCCATAATTAGATATATTTAACTCACGATTATATCTCAACGTGGCATTTAAA